TCAGATTCCTTCACTATTAAAGTACAGTCAGATCACAAATTTATGATCAAGTTTCACGGAATCAATCCCTTCTCTAGTATATCCTCTTTTAAACTTTTGTTTACTTTATATATAGTAATTTTCGGTCCCTCTACTTTACAATAGCTATAAATATTTTTACTAAATTATAGTAAAATAATGGATCGGCCATACGCTTCGTCGGTATCCCAGAGAGACTCTGGAGTAGATGCTAGGAACAAGAAGACGTGGCCGTCCTAAAGTAACTTGGCGGCGCTCAGTAGCTGCCGACATGAAGGCAATCGGGCTGAAATGGCCAGAGACCAAACACAGAATCTCAAGATAGAGCGAACTAGCGGCGCACTGTGAACTCCCTCTACCCCACTACGCGACCACAGGACTTTAAGTCACGTCAAGATAGTGACGTATTCTTATACGAAATTAAATCCTAAGTAAAAAGGACGCAGCTTTAGAAAAAAGGTAATAAACTAATCGATTTTAACTATTACGACGTTTGGCGCAACTCGGTCCATAACCGTTTATTTTGTTAGAAGAGGGCGGAGTTCGTCTTGTTGTAAGGAACATGGCAGTTTTTCTGTAAGTGGAACACCGCGAAGGGCCCTGACTGTACATACGATGTTACGTTACGTCACAGTTGTATGCGATAGATTTCTACATGATTGCAAAGTGCTTAATATATTAAAGGTCGTTCAAATACAGTTAGCAAAACATGTTTGACATATCTCCACGCGAGAAGTCCATGCGGAATTAAAAAATCTACTTAGTAGTCTAGGTGTTCTTCCAGACTATGTTCTATAAGTATGACAAATTTCAGTGATATTTATGCAGCCGGTCTGGATATATCTTCTAACAAACATACATCTATGTAAACATTCGTATTTATAATATTAAAAAGATAATAAGTAATATACTAGCGCCTTCGCCAATATTGAATTTAAAAGAACACAAAAATAAGTCTAAATTTCTCCAGCACACATCACCTATCTTCAAATAAATGATCCTTCGAAATCAGTTCAGTTGTTTCCGAAATTCGTAACAAAAGTGAACTTACAAAACAGACAAAACATAAAATGGAAGCTCAAAAAAATTCTGTCCGAAATTCCTTAACGCTTGTAACAAACCAATGAGGTTTATTTAGCGTTAAATATACTTGTATTCAATATTATATTGTTAAATATAAAAAAAGACAATTTTATTTGATATTCGTTTTAAATGAAATAAACATACAGACAAAACAATTTAATTAATTATATAGATAGATAAATATAAATTTATATATTCACGGTAGTATGTATGTTTAGGTTAATTTTATAAAGATGCGTAATACGATAAAAATGTCACACGAAATTCTAAACCAATAACCTAAAAAAATCAATGGCGATAAAAAAAAATTGTGACACTTTTTTTGCACTCAGTATGTCACGCCTTCTCCATACAATTTCTTGTCAATTGAAAACTTCAACAATTGCCAAAACATTTTATTCCTAGAAACGTCTATTGCTTTTGCCTTTTTTTGGTTCGGAGCTATTTTCAAAATTTGTATATTGAAAAAACTTCTTACCAACGTTATTTAGTTGCAAAACTACGCGAATTATTTAGTTTAAGAAATGTCTTAATCAAATTTTAATAAATTTAAACAAGCAATTAAGCAAGAAATTAACTCTTTTATTTTTAATAAATGTCGTGATTAATTAAAAATTCAATTTCTTTAGATTACAATAAATTAAATTCTGTTCAAATTCAATGTCTTATTTAGTTATCGTTTCAAATAAATTTATATGAAGAAAATTATACGATCTTTGGACAAATGATAAATTATTTAAAAGATAAGAAATACGGAAGTGTTATCTAACATTTGAGTCAGTAACTTTCTCTTTTAACATAAAAAAAGAAAAAATGTATATTAAAATGACATACTTACTTTTAAAAAACCCAAAATCCAATAACAAAAACTCCAAAACACTATAAACAAAATTCACTAAAGATAAAGGTAAAATTATAACGTTATTAAAGATTATAAAAAAAAAATGTAAACAAACTCGAACGCTGTCAGATTGAAAACGCGGGAAAACAAACGTCACAGGTTAGGTATGGATAACGTACGTAATTTAGACGGGTTATATCAACGGAATGCTTGTACGATGCGAATAGCGAACGTAAAACGACTGGGCAATGACGCGTAATTTAGTAATGGCCGACAGATATATTATTAGCATGTGATAATATAAGATAACACGTTTTAGCTTCCAGTGTAGTGGAAAACTTAATATCTTGCAAATATAAGTATGAATTTAAATGTTCAACATTGTATTGACATGTTAACACATGTTGTGTTTTGTGAGTTTTTTAATTACGGTTGTAATAACGAGAAAAAGCGAATTTGACTTATTACATAGTAATTAAATGATTTTAAAGTTAACGACAAACCTTAGTAAATAGTAAATAACACTTTTTATACAAAAAAATATTCGTAAAACCAGAATATGAAGATACAGATTTTTTTATTTAGTTACGGTTACAATATTAAATGCATAAAATGTCTTATTCTTTCTCTTATTTCTTTACTTTTTACTTGTTTTGTACGTAAACAATATTTAACTTGCCTTGCATCTTATATTAACTTCACTGTTAAATTAGGTTTTTAGCTTTTAATTAAAAGATAAAATTTTTGACAGCCCTAACCGCACTAATACGCTATTTGAATTTTAAAATTGCTGTAATTTTTTACTAATGTTTACAACAGTGGTAGAGCCCGCTTTAACATGTTCGCACGAATTAGCCCGGCTCGCCCGGTGAAATACCACGACCACACAGAAGACAGGCGTCAAGTGGAAGTTATTCCAACTACAGTCTGATGAGTGTGCGTCCCGGAGGCCTAATTTACTCCTCTTTCCCTTCCCATCCTTTTCTTTATAAGGAAAGGATGGGAAGTGGAAGTGGACTTTCCGGATGAGAGGATGCATGGAAAGAGAAGATATTTTCTTTCTGTGCATCTTCTCCTCCGTCGATGAAAGGTGGGCGACGCATATGCATTTGCGTATGTCTATGGGCAGCGGTCGCTTCGCTATTTCTGCGATTTCAGGTGGCCGTTCGCTCGTTTGCCACCTTCTGATATAAAAAAAAACAGGTTATATTTGGATTTCGAATTTCGCGAATTATTTTGAAATATTTAATTTATGCGTTCAGATTTTTTTTAAACGTAAAATATGTAGACAAATTTTTACCACATTCTTGGCTTCTTCACGAGAGATCTGTGCTGGACATCAAAACGTATAGCAGAATGGTCATTGAGAGAGTGGTTGGTAGAATAGTTTTGCCCCATCAGGGCTAGGCACAACCAAAATAGAGTATGGTTTTCCCCCAATATGGAGATTTTGCAGCGACAAAACTCGCCCATAGTAAAAAAATCTTACTTATAAAACCTAGACGAGACAAAAAAAAATGTTCCTAATTTGACCTATAGAGGGATAGTTATTTGACTCGGTTATAACTCAAATTAAAATAGCCTCCCATGACAATATAATGCGACATATTCAACATTAAATTAGTTTAGTAGTTTTAAAATATTCACTAAGGGACTGATGACTCTGTGTACCGTTTGCATTATTTTTCCTGGTTTCCTGGTATTCTTCGTTGTATCGGATATGGTTTGCACAACGGAAAAACACGATTCTTAGTTGATTTATTTCATAGTTAATCGCAATTTAAGATCAACATGTGACATTATATAGATTGATTAGGACGAGTTTTAATATTGAGTAATGCCTATCATGTATAGCGTAAGGATATTTATATATTTTAATTTACGGTCTCTAAATAATTACAACGCCATCTATTATCGTTTACAGTAAAATTAATTAAATCTACCAAGAAGAATTAAATCTTATCTTACTAAAATTATGAATGCAAATATTTAGATGGATGGATGGATTGATGGCTGTTTGAAGGTATCTTCTGAACAGCATAGATGTAGAGCATAGTCTGGACGAACATATAGGCTACTATTTTTTATTAATTCCGCGCAGACGGAGTCGCGGTCGACAGTTAGTTGATTTATAAATTATTCTGAAAAAAGTATTTAATTTAAAAATGTAACTCTTTAGATTCATTTAATGATTGTAGAAAAATAATTTTCAAAATTTTAATGTCACCTACTCTCTAACAGATGGCGTTGATAGAATTTAATATATCCTGCTACGCGGTCTAGAGATTCGTTTGCGATAGAGTTAGGCAAAAATATGTATTTCAAAGGTAATGATCATCATCAGGCCTTATCCATACGAACGTTGTATGTAGGTCTATTTTTGGCAGCCAATTCTAATTATTAGAATTGGCAGAAACAAAAGTACACGGTAATGAACTGGTCTTCCCCGACTCTTTAGTCTTAGTTCTTCCAGACTATGTTCTATATGTATGTCAAATTTCATCAAGATCCATGCATTCGTTCTGGAGATATCTTCTAACATACATCTAAACATTCGCATCTTTGCTTGTTACACTATTTATAACTCAAGAACGACTTTACCGATATGCCTGAAAATTGTTGAGGAGGTAGCTTACAGCCAGGAGACGGACATAGGATACTATTTATTCATTTTTTTTCGAATTTATGCCTTGAAGAGCTGCTTTTTATTTAACTTACTAATATTATAAATGCGAATGTTTAGATGGATGTGATGTGGGTGGGCTACACTAATTAAGTTTTTTATATATTCACGCGAATGGAGTCGCGGGCGACAGCTAGTTTATAATACTATTGAGTTAATGGGAAATATTTAAAGTATTTTGATAAATCGCAATACGATTTGGATCTTTTGGAAATCAAATTTTTTAACAACTTCTATTAAAAATAAAACATACTGTAAACTTGTAATTAATGTTTTAAACGAAATTAGTAAATCTCAATATACTTTTTTAACTAACAAACATAAAATCTAGCGAACACTTAATATGTAATTAACAACCATATTGAGTTTTTATGAGTTTCTACGTAAACCGTTTTCATAATTGTATTTTTACAAGCAAACAATGAAATATAACGTGTTTGTCGTATTATCATGTAAGTTTTTTTTTGTTAAATATTTCTCAATATTATGGAGTAGCTAAATAAAAATATAACTTAATTAGTAGTCTATGTGTTCTTCCAGACTATGTTCTATATGTATGACAAATTTCATCAAGATCCATGCAACTGTTCTGGAGAGATCTTCTAACATACATCTAAACATTCGCATTTATAATATTAGTAAGATTTTTATAATGATTAAAAACAAGTTTAAAATCTATATTTAATAATTAAGCTTTCTCCTAACTGATATTTATCAATTTCTGTCAATTCAATGTCCGTACTATTGACATTTGCCTTGTATTTCAATTGAACTTCCATACTATTGACAAATAGTTGACATTTTAATCTTATTAATATTATAAATGCGAATGTTTAGATGTTTGTTTGAAGATATCTTTAAAACGGCTGAACGAATCACGATAAAATTTGACACATATATAGAACATAGTCTGGAGGAGTAAAAGATTAGCGTGGTTTGGACATATGCGAAGGGATGATGATGATATAAGCAATAAAGTAATGAAATTGAATGTTGTGCTACAAAGGTAGAGGGAGACCAAAAAGTATGGAATGACTGTGTGAGAGTATATGCGTAGGAAGGGGGTAGATTCGGATATGACGGCTGATAGAGATGTATGGAGGAGTACATGTGCCGACCCTCAATAGGGATAAGGGCAGGTTGATGATGATGATGATGAGTCTGGAAGTATACATAGACTACTCAGTTAATAGAATTACTTACCAAATCTTTATTTTTAAGGTATTCTAAGATTTGCAAATCAATTTCAACTCTCCGCTGTACAACAGAGTATTATGAATGATTTATCTTTCGGATTAAAGATGACAGTTTTAAAAGATTTACCCACAAATATAGATAAAAGGAGAGTAGGTTTCGAATTCTTACGCAACAAAATGGAGGACGCTCTCGGACGTTCAGCGCCGACATCGTTCGCTGAGAACGAAATCAAATTGAAATTATTCCGTATGATGCACGAATCAATCAGCGATAGCGAATCTAAAATAAAACGTGCTGAAATGATAAGAAAATCCTATGAGAATAATACATCTTTCGAAATTGGTTTCATTGTCGCTGATACGACTGACAAATATACCACAATGGCTGATATTGGCGGAATGTTGGATAGATTATTTGACGAATGGCGACCAATTGAACATATTAATGCATACGAACATATCGCAAATAAAGGCATAGAAATAAATCAATTAATTGAATTAGTTAAAACAGTTTTAAAGAGGAATAAAACGTCTTCTGTGTATAGAAGATTTTTGAATCTTAGTTTATAAGTGGTCATTTCCACTAATTCTGACAATTGTCATTGCAGTTGTTCCAAATTGAAACTATAGTGTGCCTATTTATTAAAAATAAAGATTATTTATAAAAAAAAACGGTTTACGAGTTGATTACGACCAAATATAAACAACAATCCAATATAAAATATTTAATAAAAAAACACATCACTCTCCAGGCCACACAATACCCTCTATCCAGTCTAAATAGCTAGATACACGAGTATATACAGCTGGTTGTCCGCTCTTAGCACATTTACCACCGAATGATGTAACGCCCACTACATAGTAGATGCATTGGTTGTCACTGGAGACTACCTGCAGGGGGGAACCTGAATCACCCTGTAAATACACATTCGGAGCTTGTAAAAATGTAATTCGACTTTGTAAAAATGTAATTCAACTTTGTAAAAATGTAATTCAACTTTGTAAAAAATGTAGTTATACTTTGTAAAAAATGTAGTTGAACTTTGTAAAAAATGTAGTTGAACTTTGTAAAAAATGTATTTGAACTTTGTAAAAAATGTAGTTGAACTTTGTAAAAAATGTAGTTGAACTTTGTAAAAATGTAATTCGACTTTGTAAAAACGTAATTCTACTTTGTAAAAATGAAATTCGAACTTGTAAATCTATTAAGTTATAATTGTTTAGGTGTACAAACCACTTAGGTTCCTTTCTATTTTATAACCGTAATTAAATTTGGCAAAATAATATTTATATTAAAAAAATCTGCATAAATCCACGGAAAACGGCCCTAATCGGTTTCGGGTGGTCTTAATATTTAATACTTGAGTGTTTCATCAATTCTAGACAGTTTTTCGCTTAACCTTATAACTATATTTACCTGACAGGTATCTTTTCCTCCACGTAACTCTCCTGCGCACATCTGTGTGTCGACAAAGCCGTCCCAATAACGATTTGGTTTGAGCAAAGGTTTGCAATATCTATTAGTTAGTAAAGACAATGATACTTTTTGTAACTCATTTGATGTTTGCTGTGTGTCTGAAAGATTGATAGAAAAAAAACTTGATTAGTAGTCTATGTGTTCTTTCAGACTATGCTCTATATATTTGCCAAATTTCTGCTACATCTGGCCGTTCTGGAGATACCTTATAACAAACATCCATCCATCTAAACAGTCTCATTTATAATATTAGTAAGACTAGCTGACATCTGCGGCTCCGGCCGCTCGGAATTAAGTAAAAATAATTAGTATCCTATGTGTTCCTCCAGACTTTGTTTTATATCTCAATACCAAATTTCTGCTAGATCTATGCAGCTATTCTGGAGATACAATCTAACAAACATCTATCGAAACATATGCATTTAAAATATTAGTAAGTACATATTAGTATAAGTAAGTGATTTTAATTTACCTGGATCAATAACACCCCATCCAGTGGCTATTCCCTTTTGATACGATCCGAAGTCAGACTTAGACCAGAGACAGGCAGGTCTAACGTTATTGTTGAACTTAACTGCTTCCTCTAACTCTAGAAGTGCGATATCATTGTATCGCTGTGGTGGTTTGTAGTCTGGATGTTTGTGGATATGTTTGATACGAACCTGGTAGAGTAATATTTATAAACAAACAAACACAACTTCCAAATGTAATCCTAAAGGATAGGAGACCATGGTCCTCCATTTAGCATGGCAAAACAAAGCTCCGCAATATTTTTGGTCCTTGTAGGAGACGAAACGTGACAGGGTGACAATTCACACATATGTTTGAGTTTGTCAGATATGTGCAGCATCACGATGTTTTCCTTCAACGTAAGAACGTTGAATAAATGTACATATGTAAATATAACACATTCATACATCACGGGATTACAACACAGGACATGCAGACTACAAGTCGACTGCCTGACTCCTGAGCCACCGAAGCTCCAATATCCATAAAATTATAGGTGAGCCAATTTAACAAGATACCTTCCCGTCAAAGTCCCGTTTAAATCGGTCCACACGTTTTTTTTGTGACTGAATTGCCACTGTTTGTCTCGAGGAGTCATGTACAGCTTCACCGAGCTTGAGGTGGCCGAGCGCAGATGGCACTTAGCCTAAACCTCGTTTCCTCAGGCTTCCTTAGGAACCTCGGCTCGGGCCGTTGCTTCGTTACTATCGGATTGGGGTCCACACGTTCTTGATGATTACCCGGAACAAACACGACCAAATGGACAGACATACACTTTTAATTTTATTAATATGTGTAAATATAAAAACATCAAATACTCACATCAACAGGACTAGCTCCATCTTTGACGTTCGGGTCTAAGTTCTGTTCACCAAGTCTGACGACTGTCGGCTCTCCAAATCGAGGCCGTTTGATACAATGCCCTGCTGTCATTACAAACTTCCTACTAATAAGGCTCCCACCACAACTAAATGATGTACTACCCCCAAACTCCCAACCTACAGCAGCCTACAAAACACGTTTCTTAATTTAAAAAAAAAAACCGAAAAACATATACATAAGCATAGTCTTGTCATAGGACACAATTTGGAAGAACATGAATCGAATAGCATCTCACTTGTCAACAACTGTTAAGTAGATTAAGATACAGGATGTTCCAATGGTTTTATTTTTATAAAGTGGCAAGCAAGCAAGCATAAATCACTAGAAACTGTTTTTTTTTAATATCATAAGGTGACAAACGAGCGAGCGGCCATCTGAAATCGCTGAAATAGCGAAGTGACCGTTGCCCATAGACATACGCAATTGCATATGCGTTGCCTACCTTTAATCAACGGAGACACAGAAAGAAAATATCTTCCCTTTCCATGCATACTCTCATCCTGAAAGAATACTCATCAGACTGCACGCGGAATAGCTTCCACTTGACGCCTGTCTTCTGTGTGGTCGTGGTATTTCACCGGGCGAGCCGGGCCGATTCGTGCGACAATGTGAAAGATGTTAAAGCTGGCTCTATCACTGTTAAAAAGTGTTGTCCTTTAAGCTCATAGAAGTAGAAAATGTGTCCCATTCTCCATAAAATCCATTCCCTTTTCGCAAAAAATGGGTCCAAAAGGGGACTAAAATTAGGCCTCTTTTGCACACACATCAGTGTGTAACGTAATGAGCATTTAAGGATGTGTTCTTTGTAATGCAACGCATGTTTTTAGCGTCTACCCGCATGCAAAGCAACATCTGTTATAAGTCAAACTACATCCCGCTAGTGAACAAAAACAGACCATATGCGGGAATTCCCCTTGTAAGGCATTCTCTCCTCCCACAATGAGTTCAACACCGGTATAGTTGCAGTTCACATCAGATAATGTCATCGTCTCCGGTTCTAGTACTAATGCGATGAATTCCACTTTCTGTGTCACCTCCTCGCTGTATTCCTCGCATTCTGTGAATATTCAATACGCGAACACATTAGCATAATAAGATTCAAACTTAATGTCCGTTGTTTTACTCTGTACTAGTCTTTGGCGATTTCTTTAGTGTAGTTATAAAAATATTAGCGGATTTTTGTAAATTTAATATATTTCTTGTAGCATTTCAACTAAGCTGTAGGTTTGTGCTAGGATTTAGTTTAAAATAGTCGAATGGCGAGATTCGAACTCCCAACCTCATGATCGTAAATCCGTACTCTTAACTATATTATACTTATTATAACAAACTATAAGCGCCATTAGGCTAATGGCGCTTATAGTTTGTTATAATCTTCCCGTCAACATCGGTTAAGTCGTTGTGAGATTATCCCGAACAAACGCGAGCTTGCTGACACACAAACAAACAGACACACATTTTTACTGTAATATAAGTAAGAAGTAAGATTTACCTACTTTTTTCGCTGATTCTCTTCTTGTTGCCTGATGTCAGCGCAACACTACAAGAAAATAAATTGTTTTAAAATAAATATATAAAAATCAATCTTACTAATATTATAAACTAGCTGTCGTCCGCGACTCCGTCCGCGTGGATATATAAAAAAAACGTTATATATAGATAAGTTAAATAAAAAGCAGCTCTTAAAGGCATAAATTCGAGAAAAAAATGAATAAATAGTATCCTATGTTCGTCTCCTGGCTGTAAGCTACCTCCTCACCAATTTTCAGGCATATCGGTAAAGCAGTTCTTGAGCTATAAATAGTGTAACTAACACCACTTTCTTTTGTATATATATATACATATGTATATACTGGAAGAACACATAGACAACTAAATTAAGTTTTTTTATACCCCATGGATAGAGTCGCGGGCGACAGCTAGTTTGAAGTATAAATAACTGTACTCGTACTTACGAACTCTGCTGCTTCTCTTCACAGCAGACCAAGACTCTTCTTACGGAATATTCACAGAAAATAGGGCGTACTCCTTTATCTCTGTAAAACGATGCAACGTTAAAACAATCTGCACATATCAACGAAGAAATTCAAAATTTCAGGGCGAAAAGTGGAATCCAGAGGTTCGTTAGGCCACGTCTAATGGAGGTCCGTTGTCTCTGCCTACCCCTCTATGTTAGGGTCGCCACACACGGGCCACACGACTACAATGGCAGCTGAAGCGAGCGACAGCCACTTGTGGCCAGTGGTCGATACTTGCGGTCGATGGCTGCTACTTTTTTTAACCCTTGCGTGCGGTATCATAATAAACTCTGACGAAGAAGGTTTAATTGCGCCACTTTTGATACAAAGACGTCGTCGTAGAAGACGAAACCGTAGTTATTTTATACAACCAAATTTTAACGGATGTAAACAAATGCGCGAGTGGCGTGTGGCGGCTTTTTGTGGTTGTGGCCGGTGGCCCGTGTGCGGTGACCCTTATAGTCGTGAGTTGTATTTGTATTATGTGTATTTTAGATGCGAACGTTTTTTTTTATAACATAAGATGGCAAACGAGCGAGCGGCCACCTGAAATCGCTGATATAGCGAACTGACCTTGCCCATAGACATACGCAATTGCATATGCGCTGCCTACCTTTAATCCACGGAGGAGAGGATGCACAGAAAGAAAATATCTTCCCTTTCCATGCATCCTCTCATCCGGAAAGTCCAATTCCACTTCCCATCCTTTTCTTATAAGAAAAAGGGTGGGAAAGGAAAGAAGACTAAATTAAGCCTCTAAGACGCACACTTATCAGACTGTAGTTGGAATAGCTTCCACTTGACGCCTGTCTTCTGTGTGGTCGTGGTATTTCACCGGGCGAGCCGGGCCGATTCGTGCGAAGATGTTAAAGCGGGCTCTACCACTGTTAAACACTGTCCACTGTCTACACGTTTGCCTTCAATTGTAACCTCGTAACTCCAGAACGGCTGTATGGACTTAAATAACATTTGAAACAATGAATGATAGCTTAGTTACTTAGCTTAAAGTCTAGAATAATAAAGAACTTACGCGAAATTCCTATCAGCGGATGGACAGTCATAAGAATGCTTGCAGCGACCCCAAAATTTGCTGTTATCGTCATAACATGATTCGCCCTCTATCAGACAAACAGACAAACATTAAATTTATCAATCTTAATATCTTACTAATGTGTGGATGGAGGGTTTGTTTGAAGATATATCCACGGCTGAACGGATCTTGATGAAATTTGAAATACATATAGAACATAATCTGGAAGAACACAGACTACTTATTACGTTATTTTAATTCCACGCATACGGAGTCGAGGGCGACAGCTATCTATATATATAAAAGAAAGTGGTGTTAGTTACACTATTTATAACTCAAGAACAGCTTTACCGATATGCCTGAAAATTGTTGAGGAGGTAGCTTAGAGCCAGGAGACGGACATAGGATACTATTTATTCATTTTTTTCGAATTTATGCCTTGAAGAGCTGCTTTTTATTTAACTTACTAATATTATAAATGCGAATGTTTAGATGGATGTGATGTGGATGGATGGATGGGTGTTTGAATATATCTCTAGAACGACTGAACGGATCTCGATTAAATTTGTCATACGTATAGAATATAGTCTGGAAGAACACATAGACTACTAATTAAGTCATTTTAATCCCGCGCGGATGGAGTCATGGGCAACAGCTATATTTATATAAAGATTGTTTAGCTTAAATAGATATAGAAAATAACACGATAAAGAAGACATTTTCTTACTTCTAATATAAAAAAAGACAATTAAACTTCCTTACCTCTTAAACAATAAATTCCGTTTATACAAACTATGAGGAAAATCGTCGGTAAAACCAGATTCAACATCGTATTGGTATTTCCTGTTTTAAACAGTTTTGTAACAAATATTACCTGTTATCATATCACGTTTAATATCTGCAATAAAAAAGAAAAACTAATTAAAAAAAAATCTTAAAAATGATGCACTAAAAATTGCAAAATAATGTAGATAGAAAGTAAGAAATATCTCTTCTTTCTTGTTAACTTACTAATATTATAAATGCGAATGTTTAGAATAGTCTTTCCTAAAGTGTGCGATAACGCCCCCTTGTGGGCTACAGGTCTCAAGTTGCGGGTTATAGTAAAAGTTTCGTTTAGAATTCTCCGTTAATATACATATATAGGTCACAATAATTAATTAATTTGAAGTTACAGTAGTTTTTAAATATGTGAAAATATGGGGTCGCTAGAAAAATATTTATTCTCAAAGTGGGCAGTAGACAAAATAAGTTTGAGAACCACTGGTTTAGATGGATGTTTGTTAGAAGGTATCTCCAGAACTGATGCATGGATACTGATGAAATTTAACATAGATGTAGAACATAGTCTGGTACACATAGACTACTAATTGTTTGTATAATTTCGCGCGAACGGAGTCGCAAGCGACAGCTAGTATATCAATATTGTACAATTGTTGTTATTTCGATTTCCAAATTAAATGCATTTAGATATCATCAAAATCAGACAATAAGGAGCGCAGTTACATACTAACAAAAATAAGAAACAAATTAACAGTGGTAGAGCCCGCTTCAACATCTTCGCACGAATTGTCCCGGCTCGCCCGGTGAAATACCACGACCACACAGAAGACAGGCCTCAAGTGGAAGCAATTCCAACTACAGTCTGATGAGTGTGCTTCCCGGAGGCCTAATTTAGTCCTCTTTCCCTTCCCATCCTTTTCTTTATAAGGAATGGATGGGAAGTGGAAGTGGACTTTACGGATAAGAGGATGCATGGAAAGGGAAGATAATTTCTTCCTGTGCATCCTCTCCTCCATGGATTAAAGGTAGGCAACGCATATGCAATTGCGTATGTCTATGGGCAACGGTCACTTCGCTATTTCAGCGATTTCAGGTGCCCTTTCGCTCGTTTGCCACCTTATGATATAAAAAAAAAGTTGCTACAAATTATCACGTGATTTATGTTAGACTCCTAAAAAGGGGACAACGGTTGCATGTTTTGTGCCTATATTTATGTATGAACCGGCTTGAAAGTTAAGGAAAACAAGCAAATAAGTTCAATGCACCTTAAATATAAATAAAGCCGTACACGATAATGTACAACAGCGGTTTATTTATAACTGTATTTGTCACCTAAATCAAGACGGTAGTGTTTTTTTACGTAAAATATTGTGAAAAGTAAGCGGCCATCTAAATTAGCCCATAGACATCCCTAATTATAGATGCTTTCCAACCTTTAATTAACGGACGAAGGACGCCAAGAAAGACATATTTTCCCTTCCTCTGCGTCTTCTAATCCATCAAATCTACTTCCCCATTCCATCTTTATAAGAAAAGTGGGTAAGGAAATTAAAATTAGGCCTGCACGCACACTCATCAGACTGTAGTTGAAATTGCTTCCACTTGAAGCGTGTCTTCTGTGAGATCGTGGTAATCACTAGTCGTTAAGAGTTGAACTAATTTTGCCGAGTGTCATAGAAATTGTATTTTTTCTCTGAGTGTCATAGAAGTTTCAATATATGTGACTATAAATGTTACTTACTTGTTATTATTACGTATTTATTTCCTTATAGAAAGTTTTCATCAAACACATCCATTTATCTAAATCACTAAAATATAACATTATTAACACTTGACTCATTTAATCTTTAATAATGAACACAAAATGATTAATTAACATGTAAAATTTATATTACGACGTAATTATAAATTGTCTGACCGTAATGAAAATATAGGTAGGTATAGATAATAAAACTTTTAATTCCCGCCAAAATATACATCATAGGTTACAGATAATTAAATAACCAAAGATGCTTACCTTGTAATCTTGTTGATATTTGTCTTCTTTATAAAAACATTTAAATATAAGAGGCGACTGTTCGTGACCATGGATGGTCACTACTGGCGAATAACAGATCAACAGAGATGCGTCATGTCCGCCATTTTGTCGAATCGTAAAACAGGAATTTTTACTCTTTAAATTAACATAATCCGTTTTTGGTTTCGGTATCCGAAGTATTGAATTATTTTTAATAAGAGTTAATAATTTTTTTTAAAATCACAAATTGAGTTTTAGCTTAAAATTAATAAGATTTCTATAGATGATCGTATTAGGATTTAAATATGAATGGCGGCCACGGACAGGTTGACGCAGCACGAGCAGACCTTTTGCAAGATGAACCGATGATATGGTGAAGGTTGCGGCAGTATCCTGGATACGGGTAGCACAGTAATCATCGTGACGATCTTTAGAGAAGGTGTATACCCAGCAGTGGGCGTCATAAGGTTGAAAAGTGGTTGTAAGACAGATTTTATTTCGTTTCCTGCCCCGATGTTTGACATGGTACTGATCCGATGATGGAGCTGGAAGATGATCATAGGAACTTCGCAATAAAACAAACTTCAAGTTTGGTCTCGTTTAAATCGTGTTTACGAATCCAGTTTGCCTTTTCCTTGATTTTTAGTTCTTTTGATTAAAAAAAAACAAAACAAACCTATTTTGAATTTTATTTAAACATTGTAAGCCTTTTTTAACAGTGCTAGAGTGGGAAGCAGAAAATCGCTAGACCAATGATAAACAGCTCACAAGCGCGAAATAATTCGACAATTATGACGAGCCTCTTGAGGATAAACTGTAGTCTTTTTCCTTATAAAAAAACATGACATTGTCTATGTGGAATAAAAAAATTAATTAGTCTGTGGCCTTCCAGACTATGTTCTACATCTATGTCAAATTTCATCGAGATGCAGCCGTTCTGGAGATACATACTAACATCCAAACATTCGAATTTATATTAGTAAGATGGATAGGAAACTGGACTTGGCAGGGATGGGGAAATAGTTAATCTACATTTCTGTCCAAAGATTTTGCAGCATTTTAATTCGCTGCAGATATTTTGACCAGTCACTTTGTTATTTTAGCGAAATATGACTCTTTTTGTAATTAAAAAAAAACAAATAAATAAAAAAACCACCACTTAAGTACTCTTTTATTTGAAACATCCAAAACGCGATTATTTATACAAAAGTGTTTCCAATATCACTTTTAAATTAAATATAATATTCAAATAAACTTATATAAAAAAGCTAAACACTCACGTATAATCATCCGGTAGCGGCACCGACTAGTTTCTACCCATACGTGGGCCATTCATCAAGGTGAGTGGGACTGGTATTATTTGGCGATTCAGTGAGCTGAGGGCCTTGTCCGTGAAATAATACCAGTACCACTCACCCTGATGAATGGCCCCCGATTAGCTCGAAACTAGTCGGTGCCGCCACCGGATCAATATACATGTTTAGCCGTTTTTTACATAAGTTTATTGTATCTCACGAAAGTTTTAATAATTTAAAATACAACATTCGTTCAAATAATTAACCACATCGGTCATTTAATATTAACAGTGAAGCGGGATTATACTACATTCGCTTCGAAGCGATTCCATAATAAACTTCAAAAATGTATAGAACTAAGGCGCGACAATCACTTGACTTATCCAAAGTTATTGTCGGCTCTATACATTTTTGAACTTCGTTATGGAATATCTTCACATACCCATACTACGTGACCTATTTTATTTAGTTTTTTCAACCCCTCCCACCCCTCGGTGACCACTCGTAGTACATGCCAAGACACCCCCACTCTTTAGTTTTTACGTAATAATTCATAATTATGATTTTTAATCATATCACAGGTAAAAATTGAAAAAGAAATAATTTGGCTCATACTCTTCTTTATAGCATAAGACTGCATGCATACTTAAATTACTAGTGAATTATGTATTATGAAAAAAAAAACAACGAGCGACTACGTGACTAAAATCTGAGCCATCCCCCCCCGCTCCTGTTACTGACCGTAGTATTTTAAAGACTCCCCCCCTAAACGGGTCACGTAGTATGCGTACGTTCCCTAACCTCTGCGTGTTTGTACTGTATTCTAGATTTCATGGCTTATAGGACACAAAGGTTACGAGCCACTTTGATAAAACATATAACATTGACCAATAATAAATCAATTTAATGATATAATATAGACATATAGACATAGAGTTTATATATTTACATTAATAACTATATAAATATTGCTTTGAAGGTTTATTTTTTTATCTATATATAAAGGAGTAAACTGACTCAACTACAGTCGAAACGCCTGGGTCTAGACTTGGAATTTTACATAATGTCCTGTCACTACGTAGACGACCACTAAGAAGGGATTTTTTGAAATTCATCCCCTAAAGGTCCAAAATGGGGGTCCAAAGTTTGTTTGGAGAAACGGTATACCTTGGGCGGGTTTTAATATTACTGTTAACTGAGTTTTGACTACATAAAATGTAACTTATTTTCTACGAAAAAAAATGTTTTACAATATTGTTTCTGTGTATGTTTTTGCAATGGAAATGGACAGTGTTTGTGAATATAAACAATTATCATGAACATAACCACAGATATACAACCTATATTGTTCCAAGACGTCTAATCGAAAGTTAATTTCAAATATTAATTTAAATTTAACACTGAAGGAATTTGCCTCAAAAAATGCCTCCTAACGCATTTTTTGGCCTCATTTTTATGCCCCAAATTATCTATAGATTATATACCTATGTTTATCGTATATAAAATTACTAAAACAACTTTACTTTAAACGCTTAATACAATTGTAAATTTACATTTTTATAACATCTAACTTTGCAAAGATTTTGTTCGTCAATTTATAATCTGACTAGGTATATTATGAACGATAATCGAACTTGGATAAACAAGTCTAAGAGACAGTGATACCTCTAGCTTAAAGAGGTTCAATTTTATGTTAAATAGAGACAGATAAATTTATCTGACCCGGTGGGCATATTGCTAACAATCTCACTAACTCTCTAGTATTAATGTCACAAGATCCTTGTCGGTCAGTCCCACAAATATTATTGCAGTTTTTTGATACTGACAGTAGTTGTAACTCTAACCAATTTACATCTTATGACCTTTCTCGTAGTAATTCCTTACCACAAGTGGATGGAGTTAATCCAAAAGTTAAAGTTAATCGTTAATCATATTAAACTTATACTAATTTTGGACTGAGAGATATAGGTAAAATAACTAGAAAGATGATATTAACACAAGTTTATTTATATTACTAGCCGTCGACCGCGACTCCGTCCGCGCGGGATTAAAAATAGATGTTGGCCGATTCTCAGACCTACTCAATATGCTCACAAAATTTCATGAGAATCGGTCAAGCCGTTTCGGAGGAGTATGGGAACGAAAATTGTGACACGAGAATTTTATATATAAGATATTGTCATCAGCTCACTATACGTCCCATACTGAGGGGCTTGAAGCCTACCCAAAGGGGTGAAGGCCATAGTCAACCACGCTGGCCAAGTGCGGATTGAATTCACAAATGTCTTTGACTTTGTCAGATATGTGCAGCATCACGATGTTTTCCTTCACCGTAACAACATAGGATAAATGTACATATGTAAATGTAACACATTCATACATCACGGGATTACAACCCAGGACCTGCAGATTGCTAGTCAAGTGCTTGACCCCAGAGCCTGACGCTGTTTTTTGCTTCGTCATTGGTCAAAACATAACGTTGTCAGGATTGTTAGTTCACATATTCTCCGACTGTCATAAAAACCTTGTAAGACCATTTTTTCGTGTCATATTCTGTCTGTTCTGTACCGCGATAGCATATGTCACCGGGTCAAATTAGTATGTCGCACTACACCTGTCTCTAACCATAGACAAATCTGTGTCATAATGTTATTTATGTTTTTACTTTTAGGTTACAAAAGGGGCATTAATTTAAAGGAAATTAAATATATTTAAAGGCTAAAACTGTACTAAATATTGTTTCTATTGGAAAAAACCTAGACAATTTTTTCATGTATTTTTTTTCGATTTTAGTAAAGAGACGATATATATAAAGAGAAACTCATGTTTTTTTTATATATATATATAAAATTATTGGCCCCCAAAAGTGTTTATTATAATAAAATGAAAAATCGTAATCTTTACTAATATTATAAAGAGGAAATATTCGTTTGAATAGACTCAACAGCTATTGAATCAATTTGAAAAATTATTTTAGGTTAGATTTTCTTTAATTTCTTTTTTTTATGATGGCAAACGAGGGAGCGGTCACCTGAAATCGCTGAAATAGCGAAGTGACCGTTGCCCATAGACATACGCAATTGCATATGCGTTGTCTACCTTTGATCCACGGAGGAGAGGATGCACAGAAAGAAAATATTTTCCCCTTCCATGCATCCTCTCATCCGGAAAGTCCACTTCCACTTTCCATCCATTCCTTATAAGAAAACGGGTGGGAAGGGAAAGAGGACTAAATTAGGTCTCCGGGACGCACACTCATCAGACTGTAGTTGGAATTGCTTCAACTTGACGCCTGTCTTCTGTATGGTCGTGGTATTTCACCGGGTGAGCCGGGACTATTCGTGTGAAGATGTTAAAGCGGGCTCTATCACTGTTATTTCAAGACGAATTAAATCATAAACATTTCATACATTAAAGCCAAAAAATGCAATATTTCAAGGCTAGTTATTTTGTTAAAACATTATAGATATGAACCTTTATATATAAACCCTATTATATAATTTATTGACATAAAGGAAACACTCTTGCGTTTATTAAATACAACACGATCACAATAACATGAGACCTGAAATAGGGTTCTTCAATTACTTTTAGAATTGTTATAGATCTGTTATTAGCACGTCAAAAGCCTTAATTTTAGTGAATTCTAGTTTGTTTTTTTTTTAATTCACTGTACATAAATCGTTATATAAATAATTCATAGAGCATAGACAACTAAGTCCAAAGTTTTTTTTTTATTTTTTTAATAATTTACACATTTAAAAAAAAACTATACCCGTTTGTGGATAACACGACTAAGATTGCAATAACGCAATATAACGTCGATTAAGCGAAAAAAATCGCCATTAAAATGGTCACCGTTATATATATATTTTATAACTTTATCTGTTCGTTTGCCCCTTTTTCTCATTTTCGTAACAACGACAATCCTCATTAATAGAATCCAAAGACATCAAACTTTCTTGAGATGTCCTCAAACATGATTTACATCTGGAGTCGACTGATGTACCGCTTTGTGAATTAGCGTCTTCAGAAACCGACTCTAAGGATTTCAAACTTTCAACCGAAGTCAATTTATACGATCTGAATTCGGCCGTTTCTTCTTCGGACATATTTAAGGCCAACAAGGAATCTCTAGCCATTCTTCCTAAGCATGAGGTCTTTTTCTTTTTTTTAACAACACCTGAATCCATTTTACTCAAAGGGCAAGGTTTATTTAAACTTTCAGGTAAAGATTTAGGACTTGAACCGGTTCTGGTGCGAAATTTCAATCGCCTATCTGGTATATCACGCGGTTTTGTCTCTGGCACTTTAAACGCTATTGTCTTAGCTTTAGTTACATCTTTATCTATTTCTGCTAATCTTTGCGATAGATTTTCCAATGAGTTAGATCTCTTTATTTTAGCCCTCTCAGGGATCACTGGCGAACTTTTTAGCGCTGTTTGCATAAACACAGGTGCCTCTACAGCTTCGTCTATTACTAATTCAGGTGATAAATCTATTAATTTCTCTTTGATATCAGCATCAATAAGTTCCTGTGCTAGAGAACTTTGTTTTACATCCTCCTTTATGTCTGTATGTTCGTATTCTTGATTTTCATATATTAAATACGACAGTGCATCTTTACCAACATCTACGATTTCCATATTTGTCATTTTTGTGTCATTTTCTGATAATTTTTTCATATCTGTATCATCATCTAATCTGTCATCATCTATATACGCAAGATGAACATCTGTGACTTCATCACAATCTTCAACAGTAGCTATTGGCGCTAACTCAGTCTTAATCTCGTCTAATTCATTATTTGTCTCCCATATTGTTTTTTTCTCTTTCTCAGTTAATTCTATAGCCAATGCTTTAATATTCGTCATACTTGAAGTTAATGTATTTTCAGGGCTGATATTCTCTTTGATTCCTCTTACAATTTTACTAGGTAATTTATCAACTGACGTCCCCGAATCCGGACTTGGTTTTTCCATTGTATTTTCCGTACCGGATTGTTTAAGCACCGCAGCGAATGATCTAGGTCTGATTACATCCGGTTTCACATCATCTAATTTAACGTTTAAAATCTCCTTTGTTTCTATCTGTATTTTATCTATTTTCATATCTTTATCCTCATTTGATTCAGCATCGTATAAATTTTCGTTCAAATCGTTAGGATTTATATCTTTATCGCAAAAATCATGTTTATTTCCATTTGAATTTGCATTTTTAATACTTAAATCTAGATTTTTTTGTACTAAACATTCATCGGTGGTATCGTTAACTAAAACTAAAGTATTTTCACATTGATTTGGAAACGATTGGAATTCACTTAACGTGTTATCCGTATCAGTTGAAGGTGTTTTACTGTCGAGTTTCTTTGAAAATGATTCATCAACAAAAGTCAATTGAATTCTTTCAGATAAAGTAGAATCTGTCGCTTCAGAAAGACTGTCATTATCATTCTTCTCAGTTGAACTTCCCCAGGACCAGAAGGAGCTGGTTAAAGATGAATCTTTCCTGGGTGGTGTATTTGACGCTGATTTCTTATCATCATCACTATGCGAGGAACTTCTGGAGAAAATACTACTCGGATGCTGGAAGAGGCTCAACAGCTTCTCAAGATGTGACGGTAGTTTGATTTCAATTTTCTCCGGCTCAGGTCTTGGTATATGAAAGCTGGATGACGGCGCCACCCAGGATATTTTCCTCATACGATCTAATCCTTTACTCTTCAATGCTGGCACATCTAAAAGGCTCGAAGTTCTTTTCGGTGATGTCAGAGTTTCGTGAACATGGAATATCTCCGGTTTTCTGACGCTCTCTTTCAAACTGGAATTCTGTGTTAAAGTTCCTTCATTTGATTCATCATCTTTAATTCCAGATGGATTTTGAATGGAATATTCAATTCCTGAATCCGTTGATGTAATCATAACGCGATCATGTCTCGAATCCATTGAACTTATGCTCGCTTCCAAACTGGATAGTGATCCATGAATCTTTTTACCGCCGAATATTATCGGTGATATACTCTCGTTTGAACTTAAAGACGTATTAAAATATCCAATATTAACTGGTGTCGTTATATTTGATTCTAGACTATTTTCGATATTATTTTTTACATCTCTCTCTATTAATGTCTGATCCATTGCATTCAAACTTTCCATCGAGCTGCCAGATACTTCTAAAGATGAACTGCTATCACAAAAAGCACTCACTCTTTTATTCATAAGTCTGGATACTTCTAAATCTGGACTGTCCAGACTTGATTCACTTTTATTTTTCTTCAACATCACATCACGTACATTAGTTTGTACATCTGTCTGTTTGCTATCATATTTAACTTTAACATGATTCGTTATATCTTTATTTAGATTTTCTATATCTTTTTTATCTTTATTAATATCATCATCAGAATTCACTTTAACATCTTCAATTATCTTATCACTCGTTTCTATGCTATTTTTAATTGTTTCAACATCTGTTATCTTTACTAAATCGTTACTTAATACTTTATTTATCTCACTATGAGATGTAACATCAAGTTTCTTATCATTACTTACATCTCTATTGATTACAGATTCATTTGGATCTAATATTTTTATACTAGATATATCATCAGTCATAAATTCAGCATCATTATTCGATGTATCGTGTTTGAGATCTACCGTCATTGACGGTTCAATGGTGGCTATTGTTCCTTCATCTTTCTTTATTTCTATTTGAAAATCATCGGATTCAATTCTATTAAATCCATCACAATCAGGTATCTGTTGATTATTAGTTTGATTTATATCTACATTTCTGTCTACCCCCCATTCTATATCAGTTTTATTTATAATATTAGTTAATTTACCTACAACTAACGGTTCCATTGAAAATTTCGCTGGTAATTTTCTATTTATATCAGATTTATATATTGCTGGTTCTGAATTTATCTTCATCAATGCATGAGGTTCTGGACTTGGGGTTGCCGTGGAAGGTTCAGGACTCGGGGATGCTGTGGAACTTGGCGATGGGGTGGGATTATATGAACTATCGTAGTTTCTTGTTACAGAAAACCTTGAAACTCCTCTAGATTGACTCGCTGGATGTATTTGGATCTGAGGTGGTTCCACGACCTGAAATATCGATATTAATTTTTACAATGGAAGAGAAAAAACTTAAAACTAAACATCTAGCAGCAACAGTAGGCTAATTAAAAAAATAATTACATTTTTAGGGTTCCATACCTCATAGGAAAAAACGGCACCCTTATAGGATCACTTTGTCTGTCTGTCGAGACCGTTTTTTTGTCAATCATCATCATCAGCTCACTATACATCCCCACTAAGGGGGTTCGGAGCCTACCCTAAGTTATGTGACTAGGTCATAGTCAACCACGCTGACCAAGTGCGGGTTGACTTCATACATATCTTTGACTTTCTCAGACGCATTGGTACATGGCGGGATTCGAACCCACGACCTGCAGATTGCAAGTCATGTGCTTGACTCCTGAGCCACTGACGCTCTCTACTATTATTATATCTTGATAATATTATAAAAGCGAATGTTTAGATGTTTGTCAGAAGATATCTCCAGAACAGCTGAACAGATCTCGCTGAAATTTGACATACATATAGAACAGTCTGGAACACATAGACTACTTATTAAGTTTATACTATTTTTTTAAACCGCGTGGACAGTCACGGGCAACAGCTAGTAACTTAATGAATAGTCTATATGTTCTTCCAGACTATGTTCTATATGTATGACAAATTTCATCAAGATCCGTTGAGTTGTTCTGGAGATATCTTCTAACATACATCTAAACATTCGCATTTATAATATTAGTAAGATATAAGATTCAGTTACTCTGAGAATTTACTATGTTTTTTAATTACGCGGACAGAGTCGCGGGCAACAACTAGTATACTAATTTAATTACATTTACCTGAACAACTTTAAATCTAGACGGGGCAGGACAGTACGTCGGTCTCGTGGGGGTCGATGGGGTGGAGCTGTCTGATGAATCCCTGTCGGGCGTCACCCTTGTCACCTGGTGACAAATACAAAATGTTAGTCAAAAAAAAAGATATTTTAAAAGCAGATTTTCATTGTTAGTAATTTTACCACCATAGTTATAAATGCGAATGTATGGATGGATATTAGAAAGTATCTCCAACATACATACAACATTCACATTTATATAAGTGATATTAAATAACCACATAAACTTTAATTCTGTCTACCCTCATTAGTTTAAGAAACAATTATATTAACTAACAGAAAATCTAGACACAGCGTTAGGTACAGGGCTGCCTGCAGGCGAGGGCGCCGGCGAAGGCGCTGGAGAACGAAGTCGCCCACTCGCACGACGCTCTTCTTCTACACCACCACTCTGAAATCAATAAAAAAATTGATCATACTAATATTATAAATGTGAATGTTTAGATGTATGTTAGAAGATATCTCCGGAACTGCTGCATGGATGTTAATGAAATTTGTCATACATATAGAACATAGTCTGGAACACATAGGGTACTTATTAAGTTTTATTGCTATGGACGGAGTCGCAGGCGACAGCTAGTATCATAAAAGAGGTCTTATTAAAATCTTCTGTCATTTCCCACCTTTTTCATAAGGAAAGCGGAAAAGACGCATGGAAGGGGAAATATCCTTTTTCTGTGCGTCTCCTCCGTAGATATATCCTATAGGCAACGGTTGCTTCCTTTATTTGGATGGATGTATGTATGTATGTTAGAAGCTATCTCCAGAACTGCTGCAGACATACATATAGAACATAATCTAGAATACATAGGAGTCGTGAGCGACATAAATACATAAATGATATCAGAACTGACATAGATTTCTACAGTGGTAGAGCCCGCTTTAACATCTTCACATGAAATGTTCCGGCTCGCTCAATGAAATACCACGACCACACAGAAGACAGGCGTCAAGTGGAAGCTATTCCAACTACAGTCTGATGAGTGTGCGTCCCGGAGGCTTCATTTAGTCCTCTTTCCCTTTCCACCCTTTTTCTTACAAGGAAAGGATGGGAAGTGGAAGTGGACTTTCCGGATGAGAGGATGCATGGTATGGGAAAATATTTTCATTCTGTGCATCCTCTCATCCGTGGATTAAAGATAGACAACGCATAAGCAATTGCGTATGTCTATGGGCAACGATCACTTCGCTATTTCAGCGATTTCATATGACCGCTCGCTCGTTTGCCATCTTATAATATAAAAAAAATTCCTTGTCAGTAATTCCATGTGACTGACCCTGACAAAGCACGCAGTATGACACGTGAGACTGATCTTGCGATGCAGACGTTCAGGTGCGGGCGCGTTGCGGCGACACGCGGCGCGAATCTCTCCATTCAGATTCAACACAAGCGCAGCTTCCTCGCAACGGGACACGCTGCTCTCCTGAAAATGTATTATAATTTTATTAGTAACTTATATTTATATCTTATCTTATATCTTTAAATGAGCAATTCTTGTATATACAGGTTGTCCCAAAAGGTTACATACATAGGGGAATGATAGGGGTGGTCACAAGGGTCACCAGAAAAATTAAATAAAAATTCCCCTCTGGGTATTAAAAAAAATAAAGGGCATTTTTTAAAAACTTAAAAATTTTACACCTTCTGGGGCAATTTTGTAACCGATGACCTACAAATATTGCTACATTTAAAAACAAGCTATTATGTATAGAATCATTTTTAGAAAATGTCATTTTATTCGTGTTTTATCGATAATCAACTTAAACATAAACTTAACTTTTTCTATCGGTAAGATCGAAAAATATTATTCATATTTCATCATTTTATTAGTAATTCGTACTTAAATATAATTTCCAAAAAAACAAAATTTAAAAAAAAAACAATACCAAGCAAAGCTCCGTCATCCAGGTACCTAATATTATAAATGCGAACGTTTAGATGTTTGTTTGTAGTCTCCAGAACTATATTGTATGAATCTCGATGAAATTTGGTATAGAACTACATAATCTGGAAGAATCCTAATATAAAATGCCTACGATAAAATATTTTTAATTTACATTTTTTTCTTTGAATTGTTTAATAAATTTAAAAGTAGTAGAGTTTATCTTACTTAACTAAATTTGATTAATAGAAAATCTTTCTTTATCGCCTTTTAAAACTTAAAAGTTGTTTAGGAAACGGATGTTTCCCGTTGGTTAATTTAATAATTATTATTTTACCATTGGACCGATAGATCAGTAGACATAACGGTCCAACGGCAAACACTGATACATACCGGTGGATCATCAAGATCTATCTGTGTGATGGTGGTGTTATCTTTCATAGCATTCAATATAATTTGAAGGCTGCTACTGCACAACTTGTTGTCACGTAAATCCAGCCTCTGAAAAAATATTTTTTTTTTATTAATATAAAATCAGGTTAAAGGTAATGTATACGTCCGGTGTATGCACCGATTAGGGTCCTTCATCAGAGTGAATAAGAGTGGTATTATTTGACGTAGGAAATAGGGCCCTATCTAGGATGACCACAACAGTAATAGACCAGGTTAACCCCACCTATAACTAGGGTACTATCCCCAGTAATGGACCAGTGTTCTCACTTATTACACTAAGGTAAACGCCCCAGTTATTGCCTAATAATTCTCTTCTTCTAGCTCTACAGCCCTTTGTGGGCCTTGGCTTGGTCCAGCTATTTTTTCCACCTATGTCTATCTCTGGACCACAGACTACCAATTTGGTATGCCCACTTTTTATGCGTCTTTATTTACGCCGTCCATCCATCGGAGAGAGCATCGGTAGCTCAGGAGTCGAGCACTTGACTTGTAATCTGCATGTCCTGGGTTCGAATCCCGCCATGTACCAATGTGTTTTTCCATTTCCGATTTACTTTCCTATCTGTAAGGAAAAAATCGTGATGCTGCACATATCTGACAAAGTCAAAGATATGTGTGAAGTCAACCCGCACTTGGTCAGCGTGGTTGACTATGACCTAGTCACATAACTTAGGGTAGTCTCCGAGCTTGTAGCTAGTAACTCTCAGTGTACCTGTAATTGACCAGCAGCCAGTAAGGCTGCGAGCGGTCTCGCCGCGTCTGGACCTAGTCGTGCCGCCTGCAGACCGAGGGACAGCAGCGCGCCCAGCCCGCCCTCAGCCAGCACACGCACAGCATCACATCCCAGTGCGTTACGTCCCACGTTCAGCACGCATAGAGATGATGATGATCTCTGAA